TCTTGAAGCCCCGCAGCGAGACGGTCATAAACCAGGTGCCAAACTCTAAAACTGCTCTCCACTTGCTCTCAGATACCAAGCTTCTCCAATGCTGGCGCATCCTCATCTCTGCTTGTGTTGTGGCTTGCAACTGGCCGTAGTCTGAAATGGTGGTATAGAGATAACTCAGCTTCTTTTTACACTCAGGTGTGCATTGCCATGCCTCCAACGCCGTCCTAAACTCTATCATCTCAGCTTGGGGGAAGAAAGCCTTGGGAGGGCGTAGCTCTGGGAGAGGCTTCACTTCCATATCTTGCCTGTTCAGCCGCCGCTCTAGCACGCTTCCCTTTTGCAATCTATTCCCTACCACCTTTCTAATCTCATGCTTAGATATCCCCTCCCAGGAGCCATACGCCAGCACATCCAGCGATTGCTGGATTTGGATGGAATCCCCCTTGTTCTTCTTCAGCGCCTCCAAAGCTTCCTTAGCCATCATCAGATCTGATCCTTTAGGGTTTGGAGCATGTTCTATTTTTATTTCTGACTTGGTCATTTTAAAGACTATAACGTTAAGTTTATAAGAGACATCCACGCCACCTACGGCCCTCCATAGCCACGCTCGTGGAATGCGCGCGAGGCGATAGCTGGTGCCACACGGCTTCATTCGTTGGTGTGTGGATCAGCCTCGCTTCTCCACCCTCCAATAACGTAGAGCTTGCCATTGAGATATCTACACTGGACACTGGAATCCTTCTCCATGGACTGGCGGTGGTGGAAAGGATCATCCACCCCGGCTTGACGCTGCTTGAAGTTCGCGGCGCCGCTCTTTCTCATCGCGATGGCAACAAGCTATTCCTGATCGTGGCCTTGGGCAGCTCGATCCTCGTAGGTGTTAGCCACCATCACCTTGCGGATTTGCCCGTGGGATTCGAGAGAGACGCGCAGCAAGCACTGGTAGGCGGTATCCTCGTCCAGGCCTGGGACGAGCGTCGCCATAGCCATCGAAAGAAACTCCTCTATGAAAGCCATAGCCAGCGCTGGTAAAAAATGCTCTGTTTTATTTTCTTCCAACTTTGTCCTTGGAAAGAATTCGAATGAACTTGTTCTCAGATGCACTGGCACTTGTTCTGGAACTCGGCATCGCTGAGCATCGTCCAGCCAGCGAGCTTGACAAATTCCTGGAGCGTAAACAGGGTTTTCTTGCTCGACTTGATTATGTTTTGCTGCTCGGGCTTCCAAGTTTGTTCGATGCCTTCCAACTCCACAGGCAAGGGAACCGCAACGCCATCGTAGAGAACACGGACGAAATGCTGGTTGCTATCTTCCAAGGAGCGCCATAGCTCGATGGAAATGGATGCTGCGTAAGATGGCCAGCTTTGCCATGGTCGACCCAAGGCAACTAGAACGATCAAACAAGGGAAAGTTTCATTCAAGAGATCAAGAAAAGAAAAGAAAAGATGTTACCAGAGAGTGGCACGAGAGTTGCATCGTGGCCAGAATATAAATACAATGAGGGTGTGTCTCTGTGGTTCTCCATAGAACTCACGACTTCTCGGAGCAATCTTCCCATTGAGAGCTCGCAGATTTCTTTGTCCTGTGGAAGTTTCAAGCATGAGACTTAGAAGCTAGATTAGAAAAACTTAACGACAGCTCTACCTGAAATGAGCTCACGTAATCTTGAGCAAGGAAATCTCGAATCTCGCATAGTTTCTCGACTGTAAAATTATCCGGGACAGGATCTCCGTGAGCTAGTGCGCAGTGAACAACATCAGCAGCCTGGCACAACAAAAAGGAAAAGTATGAAAACCTCACGCAGGGACGAGACGTTACTACCTAGAGCGTGTTTTTTTTTTTCATACCAGAACCCATGGAAATCTCTTTCCTTGAGGTAAATCCAGGTGCTTAGAGAAGGAAAAACGAATGTCCTGGAAGAAAAAAAAAAGCACTCTTTCATGGAAAAAAATTGAAAGTTTTACCTCAAACTGGTCACACCATCCAGTTTCTTGCACAGTACCATCGGGACGAACCTCAGCTTGCCTTTTTCTGCTCAAAGAGGCTCTCCAGAGCTTGGCCAAGCTGTGGTTTGGATCAAAGTTGTAAGACTTCGCCAAAGAGCTGCGAGAAAATGTGAGTGAATCCATACCGTGCACAGTGATCGTTGTGATACAAGTTTTCCAGACGATCCTCGGAGATGCAGATTGGAACCGACGCTGCTAGCTCGCCCGAGCCGAGGAGCGCTTCAAGCACAAACCAAGCTGCTCTAGTGGAAAATCTCGAATCTATAAGCTCGAGCGAAACACGAGGAACTTTCGACTTGCCTCACCCGTCATGTGTGTTCTTAGAAAGTTGGTTGAGCGCACCCGCAAAAAAGAATCCGGCTGGCTGGTATCAACGCCGAGCTCCTCCAGATATGCGTCCTTGATCCAAGCTCCCAGCCCTCTCGCTTGCTCGGCTCCTGCAAATCGACTCTCACAAACTTTCATGGAGAGGAGAACCAAGTCATTTCAAGTACCTTTCCTCGTGAGGTGTCCGAAGGGGCGCTCTTGGTACTGGTAGTTCTGGGGCTGGAGCAGCGGTGGCACTGCCTCGAGCCTGCTGCTCCACACCTCCGGGTTGGAATTCCCAAAAGCCGGCGTGGGCGATCGATCGCCATGCCTGAAAAACACATGAACCTTGGAAAACCAGTAAAAACCTCTATAGCTCGAGCTCATTGTGGAAGATTAATCAATCCTATGGGCAATGGAGAAGAAATGTGGAGTACCTGGAGAAGGTGTAGCGATTGGAGCGGCGGAGAGTACTTGGGTCTCACCGCTTCGAATTCCATCCCGGCGATGGATGAGGAATCGGGAGTGAGCTAGTAGGTATTCGCGATGGATGGATGGAGACCTATCAACCGGATAAAAGAATCCACACAGATAAAGATAAAGACAAACAAACAGTGGACAATCAAACACCTCTCTAAGTTGTCTTTGGAGAAATGGTCTTTGTCGATTGTTGCAAGCCGCGAGGAACGAAGGCCAGGAGATATGATGGGAAAGGATGGAATGGCGTTCCAGATCTTGCGAGAACGTCCACAACACTGCTGTAGTGATCCTTGGCGCCTCCGTCCGCGCAAGCCCTTAGCACCGCCACGAACGATGTCTGTGGTCCTCGAGCAGCATCGCAAAGGTCCTCTCGCGCCGCATTCCGGATTGCGTTCCAAGCAGCAGAATCGCGAGGCATTTCCATTTTAAAGAACATCTCTCGCGCTTCTTTCCGCGGCGTCAAAGAGTGCCGTCCATACTCTCGGGCATCTAGCCAAGAAGAGGTGCTTGGAGAGGGGCATGGCTTTGCATGCCGCAGCGGCGAAGCGTGGCTTTGTCTCCGACTTGTACGTAGCGAGCACGATGGTGGACATGTACGCAAAGTGTGGGAGCATGGCGCAAGCTCGCAACGAGATGAAAGAGTTCCTGGAAATGTCCAACCTATGGCGTTCCAGGACGTAAGTTCCTGCTGTGGAACACGATCAAACATTTGTCTCGATCAAACTAAGCTTCCAAGCTGCTCCATTTTTGGTCACACCGTCGTTTACACTTACTCAAGATCCCCAATGTGGGCATTGAGTCCAAGCCTTGCCACTGTGTCCCTCTCGTCAAAAGTTTCCACGGCTAGAAACATGATCAGTCTTCCTGGGATGCCTCAGCGTGATCATGTGCCCTGGACGATGCAGCGTAACATGCAAGCGGCTCTTTGTAAGTAGAGAAGACATTCCAGATGCGCTCACCATAGTCGTCCAAGTCACCACGTCCCTCTCCGAGAGAAACAAAAGCTTTCATGGCATCGTTGAAGGACTGTTCCAGGAGAAGACATTGGGATCCTGGATTGAGTGGAAGGCTTTGATCGCCTTGTGAAGATGCCAGAGATTACACAAGAATGTGCTTCCAAATAGAGCTCGGCTATGGCGACGGCGCCGCTCATCCCTGGCCTGGAAGATGATGCTGCGTACCAGTGCCTCCTGCGAGTGTCACTCTCATCGCACGGGCAGAGCCAAGCGTGGAGGAATCTCGTCTCCAGCACCAAGTTCTACGATGATCACTCTAACTTCTTGGGAGATGGGATTCCACTGGGAAATCGGTAAGCATCTTAGATTCACACATTGAGTGCTGTGGCGCCAATGCTGTGTTGTATGTATGGAGGGTTGGCTCTACATTGTTGGTGGGAACCTTGGGGTGAGGGAACTAGATGCTGAGGTATACAATCTGGTGGAGGATCGATGGGATCCTCTTCTGCCACTGCCATGGGAGTTTACAACCCCTTTATCGTTGATTGTAACAAGATCATTTTGAGCACAGATGAATAGATGCTTGTTTTCTCGGCACAAGATAATTCCTGGGAAGTGGACATATCTTTGTATTCTTTGGCTGCTTTGTAGATAGGATGATCTTTTTTATTACTTTGTGTTTGAGATAATATTGCACTTTTGGCAATATCAAAAGTATCTATTTGTAAGTGAAGTTATTTTATTTAGTTGGGTTTAACAAGTATAAATGCCTCTCTTTGAAGTATTGTTTAAACCTTAAAAATACTTATTAACAATTATTATTCCATATAAATGAAGTATCTTTCTTTAAAAGATCAGTAAGTGGTTTGGCAATTTTTATATAAGCTTTTATAAATCACTTGTGATATCCAACTTTGCTTAGAAAGCAACAAAGACTTTTAAGTCATGTGGTGAAAACATTATCTCAATCACTTGAGTTTTGTCTTTGCCTACAAGGATGCCTTCCTTGTATATAATATGACATAAAAGTATGTCTGAATTTACAAAGAAAGTACATTTCTCTAGATTAAGAGAAATGCTATATTTTCTATATTTTTGGAAACATTTTTGCAAGTAAATTAAGGAGTTGAAGACACTAAAAGTCTTCCTATCTGAACTAGATGTAGATCCTAAATATTATAACCTACAAAATATTTATAAAATTTTGCTTACTATACAATTGTTAAAATTTTATGCAATCTTAAACAAAGAAGCTATTGTAAAAATTTTAATAGTCCACAATAAAACTTGGAAACCCATAGGTAGAAATACACTTATTGATAAATGGGCTAATAAATGTTGTATCAATTTTGAATTTAGATTGATAAGTAACAAAATTCTGTAGAGTAAAAATCTCTTAAGGTGAACCATATTTGAGCATACTGTGAAAAATAGTATTTGTTACTTGAGAAATTTTTATGACTTTTATATAAAAAATATCCTAGATATTTGTCTTTTAAAGGAAAACCATTCTAATTAGGAAGCTAAGTACTTACTCCTAAAAGTGATTGATAGCCCAATTTACAAGGGGAATACATTATATACCAAAATTTTGTACCACTCATTCTATAAATGAGGCATAATAACTAAAGTTGCAATAGTAATAATGTCAACAAATCTCGAAATATAGAGGTATAGATCAATAATTAATCTTACCTATAAAGTTTTAAAGGGCATAGTCCCTATGCATAAAATTGTTATTGTCTATACCAAACAAGGTAATAGATATACAACATTTCCTTCACAATCTGATGAGTGGAAGGTAATCTGAAAAAAAGTATTCACAAAATCTAGAATAAGATTATAGAGCACTTGTTTGTGATATTTGCGATCTTAACCTCCCTTCAAAACAGACTAAATCATTACTCAATCAAGTTAAAAAAAGTTTGAAAGAGAGCGAGCTAAAAGTATATTGGGTACACCTCAACAAAGAGAAGATTAAAAATCCTAATATGATTTTGATGATCATCCAGAATATGTGAATTCATACGCTACTCCTTCTTGGCAGCATCGGCACATAGAAAACACCTCTACTTCAGTTAAGAGTAGTGGAATATAAAATAACTAAAGTGATTCCTCACAAAAGGAAGAAGAAATAAATTTACAGCTTTTACCCTTTGATGGTGATCTAAGTTCCCCTACGAACCAAACATTTATTTTGCCTATATTAGTTGCAAAATAGAACATTGTAATGAGTACGATGAAAATTGTATGAACAACAATAAGCACCATCATCATATATCCATCTTTTTCTGAAATTAAAAGAGAAGACCTATAACTGCATATTGAGTAATACATAGAAATAATCAAGCTCAATCAAACAAATGGGCAGAAAAAGAATCTTTTCCCCTATACACTCAAAAATAAAGCTAAAGACTAGTACTATGACAATGATGTAAAAAATCTTAGTATATTTGATGAGTAGACAAAGTTTTTCCTTAAAGTTTTCTCCATAGAGACAAACCTAGAAGAAAACTATAATGAATTGCAAAAACTTCATCAAAGAAAATTTGAGACAATTAAGGAATACATAACTCGATTCAACAAACGTTATAAGTATTGTAAAAACTTAGTGTTAAATAAAATGCGTCTATGCCTAATACATACAGGGCCTCAAGAAAATTTATCATGAACATGCAATTAAAAGAGTTTATATAAATTTTGATGACTTGAAAAAAACCATAATTGCCTACCAAGATCTTATAAAATAATATCACATGGTAGATATGGTGAAATAAAACGAAAAAATGATTCCTATAAATAGGGAAAAAGAAGTTTTAAATTGCAATCAATCTTAAATAAAGGATTTAGTGTACCATATGTAAAAATGAAAACCATAGCAAAAAAGAATAGAAACTCTAGTTAATCAAGTGCCAAATTTATGAAAAAAAAGGGTATACAGCTAAGGAATGTAGAACCTTATTTAAATAACCAAAAAGCTAACAGGTAGCCTGAGTTGATAAAATAACATGTAAGCAAAGTTATCCATTTGACGATACAAGTTATCGTAGAAGGAATGATTACAATGATAATTGAAGTGCCACTGAGAGATGGGAAGCAAGGAAGACAAAAAATCTGTAAGTAGTTCTAGCATACAGAAATGTGAGAATGTGAATTTTGTTTCATTACCACAATCTCCATATTACACGCCTGGTCCTTATTACCCATCCGGGAATGTGGAGACCACTGTCACTATTGATAAAAATGCTCCTGTTACTTCCGAGACAACAATCCAGAGCAAGAGAAAAGAAGAAATGGACAGCACAGCGGAAAGCACTAATAAATCCACTCTATAAACCTTTCAATGGCTTTTGTAATCCACTAAAATATTATAAAAAAATGTAAGTTTTTTATATATATCTTATTCCTTTTGATATGTTTTGTCTTTGCAAAGATATATGATGTGGACAAATCAAAGAATTAAATGTATATATGATTTTGGGATTGAAAGGTAATCTTGCAAAAAGGCATACTCGCGTGCCTGTGTATATTCGCTATTATTATATATGGCAGGCCAACTATATAAAATAAGGCTACATATTAATTATATGCTAGTTTTTAGCTTCTAAAACCCTATAGCCACTTGTTTCTCATAGTAGGTTGTAATTACTAAGACTGACAATTATCATTCACTATAGTGTCATGTCATAATAAAACATCATTCTCGAGATTGAAATATAGTATATTAATAAGAGAATTCTTATTGCTAGGAAGTTTAATTCTTCTTGTGTGTTGCAATGGTTAGGAAGAAGTTTACTTTTGGTCCCGAAGGCCTTTCATATGAGTCTCCACCTCCATCTCCAATCTCAACCAATAATCCACCTTCACCTCTACGTAACAATTCTCCTTTTCATTTTGAGGGCTATTGTGAAGCTCTTCCATTTGCGACCTCGAGTGCAACTGAACAAGAACTCCTTCCTTATGATGTTGTTAAAAAAGTTGGATTGCCTCCAATGCTTCAAGAGCGATGTCAATATTTTCTTCAAGATCTTGCTCCAGATATGGCAGGGGAGCTTAATGTAGATACATATTATCTTCAGTGTCCTATATGCAACTTTTATTTAAACAAGATAGATGGTTGCATGGGTTTGGTAAATTTTATTGACC